TAATAACAATAATAATAAGAAGAAGAAAGAATAATAATAATAATAAAAGCCTAATAAGTGTATCTCTTTAATCTCTTTAAGCCTCCCCCCCCCCAACCCATCTATACAAGTTAGATCATTTAGGCATTGGGCTTCTGGACCTGTATGTCAGGGACAACCCCGGCTGGCGAGAACTGAGTTACTGGACACAAACAATTATTTCTCCCCACTCTGGAATTGAACTTTTGTCTCCTGCGTGCGGAGGCGAAGCACCTAACTGGCACACCACAGACACGGTTTATAATGAGAATGTTGTTCCTTAAAGAGTTAAATGTATTGTGTCGATAGTACCGTAAAACATCTACTCAATCAATCAATCAAAAAGAGTTAAATGTGAAATAACACGTCGTTATGGTGTGGTTTCCTTCCCCCTCACTTAATAATAATGTTTTAATAGATAGCATTTAAATTGTATAGCGCAAATCCCCGCTCAACAGCAAGCTCTATACGCTTCACAATCTATACTATTACCCCAGCAGACCTGAGAGAAGTTGTGAAACAACCTCAACTTCCTGGGACGGATACAGTGCAAGCAGCCATTTATAGGCGCTAATACACTAACATACGGACAAGATCTTTCGCTGTCTATGGCTGGGTACCCATTCCAACCTGGGTGAAGTGAGGAAAGTTCGTGTAAAGTGTCTTTCGCAAGGGCACAACGTCGGGCCCACGGCTCGAACCCCCGAACCCGTAACCTCACGAGTCTGGTAGCCTAACCATTAGACAAACTTCTTCTGTATTATCCAGACCACCGCCTCTTTGGTGTAGTGATTGGTCACTTTTGCTGTCACACCCAGTTTGATCCCCTCCCTGTTAGATAGGGGGTGGGGTGGTGGAGGTGGAAGCCCGCCTCTAAACTATCAGATTTGGATCGAGAGGAACTTAAAAATACTTTGCGCGACACAGCCAGCAGTACAAAACACCCCATCTGGTCAGCCAGCCAGGAGAGTGACTGCAACAGACAACAGACTTCTCGGGCATGGTGCAGAACTGCGTCAGGTGACCGGAAGGGACAATTTTCACCGGCGCATTATTGCGCCAAATAACCGCAAAGTGACCGGACGTAAGGAAACCACGACATAATGTGTTATCATTTAACTCATTAAAAACACCAACATTGAACAAAACACAATAAAGTTTTTATGTTGTTTTTTTTATGCCCCC